TCTTTCAGGTTTGGTCTGATAAAAACTGTCAGCTACTACTAGATGCCACGGTAGATTTGTTTTTACAATAGTCCTTTCATTCATTCTGACAAAACATAAGTTTTAAAGGCCTTTCAGAAAGTGAGTGAGTATCCTTATGTGGGTTCACAGTTAATCACTGAGACCGTTTGGTGGTATTCACTCATTTAGCTTTGGCTTTGATCTCCTCTAGAATACATTTGTTCTCCTCAGTTTAAATACCTTAAAGGCTTCTGAGGTTAGCATTTAAGGTGCTTAGCAATCCAGCTCTGCTTATTTTTCTAATTTGACCTGTTAATACTTCTCTCCCTTCTCCATGAGCCCAAGTCAATGCCCAAATCTCCCTGTACTCCTGTTGTGAGCCTATGTCTTTATTCACGCTGACTCCCTAGGCCATTTTCACACTGTGCACACTGAATCTTACCCTTCTTTAAAGGTTCAAGCAGCACTTTGTCCCTGAAGCCTCCCTATGATGCACTTCTGTGCACCCCAAGGATGCTGATATTTTCTCTTACCATTTGCAATGTTCTAAAATCACCTTTGTTAACACTGATGTATGATTTTAACTATGTGTCACTCCCCTACCCAAACAACCCCCATAAAAATTCTAGTACATGTTTTATTTACCTTTTTGGAGACCTATCTCAGTGCTTTCAATACAGTGAAAATTTGGGTGTTTGCTAAATTAATGCATAGGGATGATTACCAAGCACAGTATAGAATTTCCCAAAATTTCTTCCTTCCAAAAATTTTGTATATGCACAAACCCACACTGAACAGTCACTCACCCAGGCAGCCCCTGGGATCTACCCAGGAAGGGCCCTTCTATAGGATTAGTTCAGGACCATTGCCATAGGCTGTGATGGTGAAATGGGCCTCTTAACAACCCACCTGAAAAAACTCGGTTTTCTGTCTTCTCTAAATCACTCACTTCACAGTTTCCTAAGGAAATCTTTGTCTTGGCAGCTTCTATCCTCTCCCTACAGATTCCTTTGTTTACCTGAAACTTTGTGTTTACACAGTCTTCTCTGGAGGAGAAGAATAAATTAACTAACCTAAGCTCCCTGGTGCAGGGACCGGTAGATAGTAGGAGGTCTCAGTAGATAGAGGTCTTCAGCATCCTGGTAGGTCCTGCTGTCTTCTAAGCCTTCAGTAGCTGTCCTTGGGGCTCGCTGATGCTGGTGGGTAAAGATTCTGAGGTCAGCAGGAAAGCTGTGGTCCCCAGATGCATTGCTGTGAGTCTATACACCTTCTAGCTACTCTCTATGGGACCTCCTTGACATCACAAACCAGTCCCTCATGCAACTGAACGATTCACTACCAGAATCTTGTGTTGGATTCTGACATAAGAATTCTTTCTCTGCTTTGTTCAAGACTAAAACTAAAGCTCAAACGATAGATGAGTTGCCATCTTACAATATTAAAAAAAAAAAAAAAAAGAATAAGATACTGAGAGATGTTTCCTACCAAAAGATTCAGCCCAAGAAGTCTTTTTTGGAACATATGTTTCTGCATAGTGAACTGGAGATCACTTCATAGAAGCTGTATAAGGTGCAGCCAGTGCAAAACATGAAAATCCAAGATGCCCTCTGCACACTCCAGTGGAGCACATGTGGTACACAGCCTAGTACTGTGTTTTCTCTACCAACCTAAACATGGATCTGGGCACTGTAAGGTCTGGGAAAGGACGTCTCCTCTCTAGGATATTAGCAGTAGTGAGTCCAGAGTGAGGGGCCAGTTTTCATGTGCAGTGTAAGCTTGCTGGTACTTGCCATCGTTTGATGGTCTAATTAAGAAAGAGTGACAACCCACACATTTGTGTAGTTGCATCAGAGTACTTCACATATGGAAGACAGGAGAGAAAGGGTATGAAAACGAGGAAGAGGAAGCCAAGGAGAAGGAAGAGTTGGGGAGTCAGGCAAACACATGTGTCTAGCTGTGGCTTGCAACAGCACCTGGGCACAGCAGATTTGCAATGTTCCATATTAAAGTCACAGCTGCAGTTAACATTGGTCAGATATCAGATCCAACTCGTGGTCCTAAGCTTTGGTCTCCTTGGATAATTCTGTTTTTTCCAAAATCTTGGTTATCCCTAAGAACTATTCTAACATTATTCCCATTTTAAGATGTCCCTTCCATTGTCAGATCATTCCTTCTGGAAGAGAAAAGAGGTGACAAGAAAAAGAGAGGGGGGAAGGGGGAGAGAAGGAGAAGGTCAGTACCTCTATCCTCAAGTATTGCTCATCTCTACTTTCCACTTTGCAGTATGCACTGTGCTTCAGTGTTTGGGTCTGGACTCATCCTTGAAGCCCTAAAGCTCTCTGGGGCTGATGTAGGTGGTGCCTACTGCTGGGGAGGACAAGGGAAGACTTTGGTGGGGGGAGAAGCTAACCTATGTCTCTTGCAAGATGCAGAATACCGTAGAACTCCTATAGAGGAGAACAAGCTAAGGCTGTGTAATAGCCCAGGGGAGGGGAAAGTGAAGAGAGAGAGAAGAGAGACAGAAGGGAGAGAGAACTGGGCACACATCTGGAAGAATCAGTATCAGTAGTGTTGTGTGGAATATATAGAATGTCTCTCTGGACTAAATTCTAAAATCTCACTATGACTTCTGTCAGTCTGTGGGTGGGGAAAGTGTCCTGTGGCCCCATGAAGTGACATTGCAAAGGGAGAAATGAGAGACCAGCTGTGGCTAGTAGAGAGGAAGCTATAGCAGCAAAAGAAGGTCCTGGATGTGAATCACCTGTGGCATAATAGTTAACTTAGAATAATACTGCAGTGTTTTCACATCTGACATTCTCCACAAGCCTGTCTTCTTTCTGTGTACACATGCCAGTGTATAAATTGCTGCATCCATGTCAGCTGTAAAGTAATGGCACCAAGGGCACCATAAATTACCGCAGTGATCCTCAGGAGAAGACACTGTCGTATCTGAATGAGTGTTTCACTTCCAGAGTAATGCATGCCTTCATCTGGCCCAGCAGTCAGCATATTGCCCCATGTTGATGGATATTGTCAGCTGGAAGCTACACTGCATTTCACTGCACAATAAACATGGCTGTCAAATCCACATAAAGTGAAATCAATTTATCCTGTATGGTCAGTGCATTTTAAATGAAATTAATGTACTGTGGGTATGGTGGCAAAAGGTAGCATATTAGTTATGCATCTTGGGATCTGAGCCTTTCTGAGTAAGGCATCATTCTGTCTAGTGGGCTTGAGGAAGTGCTGTTTATAAAATGTGTGTTATTTTTTTCATAATGTTTAGAAAGTGGTCTCACTGCCCTCTTTCATGTTGAGGGAAAAATTAATAATATTAGCCAAATTTCATCCTCTTATCCTGTCTTTTGTCTGTAGTAAATGATGACCATATTTTCCAAATAATAGCACCTCTTAATGTCCTAATTTATTACCGACTTTGACACAAACAAATTGCTCCTTAAGCAAGGTATCTGGAAATAGGACAGAAGGGCCAAAGATTGATGGGATGGGTTGCTCCTGCAGAACTCCACTGCCTGCGCTGAATGGATTGTTCTAGAAAATGGAGTGTTGGTTTTCATGCATAATGAACTTTGAGGGGCAGGATTTCTAGCTTGTGTGGTAGGAGCACTGGCTGAGGCCATCAACTGTACCCACTTCATGTTTTGCCATAGAAGTTCTCACTCTACATAGACATATTCAATAGTCAAGACAAAACAAAGCTCGTATCAGTGTGTCACACTCATGACAAAGCAAGAGCCTCATCGGCTCATCCATTTAACACACTTTATTAATCAGAATTCTGTGTGCAGATACATCACTGGATCCAAGGAATACAGCTTCAAGCAAACCACAGTCCTCTGCTCTCAAGGAGCTGTCCATCCTGTCCTAGTAAGCTAGGTCTTCAGAGCCTGTCAAAGATGAGAAGTGTAGATGTAGATTCATAAATGATAAGGCCACCCTTTCAATCAACAGAAACACGCAGGAGGACCCTTGGGACAAGTGTTTTTTAGTCTACTATTTTTGGATATGAATGGAAGACCAGTTACATTTGACGTAATGGATACTTACTGTGTTCTTTGGGAATTACAATATACAAGTATGAGAATAAGAGTCTCTAACTTTAGGGATTTCACATTCCAGGGATGGAGTGGAAAGTGCAGAAGGAGACAGTCACATAAACAGTGATTACTTCTGGGCATGAGCCTGGAGGCCAGAGGAGCCAGAGCATCCTCCTCCTCATGATTGCTCTTGTAGCCTGAATGCCCTGGCTAGTTGCCTTTCATCCCTCCCTCACTTACCCGCTGATTCTAGTTAGTTCTTCCAGAATCACCTGAGATGTGATGTCTCCCAGGATGTACAGGCTGATGGACCATCCTGCTGTGTATTCTCTTGGTGCTCTGCTAATTCCAGTTCTACAGAATTGTCCACATTGTCCACCATGTCATAATGGTCTGCCTCCCTGCACTGTGAGCTTCTTGAAGGCTTTTTTCACCTTTCTGTCCCTAGTCCATAAGCTCTCCTCATAAGTGATTGCTGGGTGAATACATTTCATTGAATTAATTCATTCCTGAAACAGCAGCAGTTGAACAGGACTTGAAGGATAGTAGGGCTAGCAGGGAGGAGTACAAGGCCTCCAGGATGAAACACCATGAAGGGACAGATTTTTCAAAATGATTGATAAGATTTTGCTTTAGAAGGAAGGCATTACATCAGGAGAGTCCACCATACCATAGCCCTAGTCTTATTTTCTTACCGCCTACAACTGACTGTAGTGTGTGATGTAGGGACAGAACAACACACAAAACATGAAATCAGTTCAGCCTACTCTCTCTGACAGTGTCAGCAAGTTCTGAGAAACATCGTCTAAAACTGTCTGTTTCAGAAAAGTCCCTTAGAACAGAAGACGGACCTGGGGACAGCAGTGGAGCCAGGCAGAAAAGTGTGAAATGCCCTAATAATAATGCTTTCCGCATCTTGTTCTTCCTGCCCTCACATTACAGGAAGCAAAGCGATGAATGGCTCTGCAGCTAAACTACAGCAGTATTATTGTTGGCCAACAGGAGGCGCCACTGTGGCTGAAGCACGCGTCTACAGGGATGCCCGCGGCCGTGCCAGCAGCGAGCCTCACATCAAGCGACCAATGAATGCGTTCATGGTTTGGGCAAAGGATGAAAGGAGGAAAATTCTTCAGGCCTTCCCTGACATGCATAACTCCAACATTAGCAAAATCTTAGGCAAGTGCTGCAGCCCAGCTGGCGCTGATCTTTTACCCTATGAGGAGGGTGGGGTGGGTGTAAGGGTGTGAAGCCAGAGCAGAAGTGACCTCCTAAGGGGCCAAGTGAAACTAAACCGATGGCCTACAGCAGCCTTGGCCATTTTCTCTCGAAGTGCTACCACACGACAGTTCTGGTGAAGTTTTATCTACTAAAACAAGGCCTATAAACTTTCTTCCTGGACAGAACTATCACCAGGGTTAGCCTGGCTAAAACTTAGTTTAATGCCAAGGTTCTTAGAATGATGTGCTTACGTTGTAAATTTAGCAACTATTGAGTGAGGCCGCAGAACTCACGGGGACAGGCTATGTAGGGCTCTAACCCTGGCGTTTTAAATCTCTGTTTTTTCAAGGCAGCCCTGCAAACACAAACCTCAAAGCCCAGGTTCACATGGCCCACAGGCAGAATTCACCAAATACTAGGGGTGCCCCCCCAATGGCGTGAAATTCATGGGTGTGGAGCAATGCCTCTAATGATAACTTGAAGACTTGTAAAACAAAGCTACACTTAATCTTACACTGTATGCCTAGTTCAAATTTCATAGCCATGAGCTGAACTGCAGCCTCAGGGCAGAGCCCGACTTTGCCAGCGCTGTCCTTCACGTTCCCAGGCTTAAATTCTAGTCCATCAGGGTAAGCCTGCCTAGCACAGATTACACAGTTTGGAACTGTTGTGCTCAACATGTTGAACATATTTTATTCAACATATGGCATTACAGTCAACATGTTTCCTCTTTTGAGAGAAGAAACACAGACAGCCCTGTTCAGTTTAAGCTGCCACTGTGGAACAGAACCCCAAGGAGCCGCGCAAGATGCTGGAAAGCACCAGGCTTAAACTGTGGCTTTAATTCTTTAAATGTTTTGTTCAAGAGCAATAAATATTTAACCTGAGTAAATACCAGTGATCTGGGCACACACAAATACACGTGTTTTGTCACAAAATAAATGATTTAACTTGATTCTGAGACGTTTTGAGGCAGGAGCTTATAAGAAAATTTAAAACATACTTTGGACCAAATAGAGGTGGAGCATGGAAATATAGCCTTTTTACTTTTTATTTTTTACTTTTGAATTTTAAAGTAAATGTTAAATGTCACTCCCATTTAGAGAAATTTCTATTTTAAGGTTTCAGAGATAGGCAGAAGGGTGACATTCTCTTCTTAATTTAAATACCCCTTAAGCTAAAATGTTCCTAATGGTCAGAAAATATCTACATATATTTTTTTTTCCTAAATTCAAAAACATAGAAAAGAAGTCAGTGTTACTCAAGCCTCACAGCTGCTGATGACTTTGTTTCTTGCCCTCTCGGTAGCAGCATTTGTAAGCTTTCAGATGGGCACAGACACCCTCTGTTTGCATCTTGGCAGCCTTGAAAAATCTCTATTATTGATATGTATCCTGTGAAAATATTATGAGAAACATAAAAAGTATATTCATTAAATGTAAACCATTATGCATGAGCATTTCACATTTCCAGGGTGCCAGGAATCCTAACCTGGGGCCCTGCGCTGCTGGCAGCCGGCATAACAAGCTGATTGGCATAGCCGATGGATCTGCACAACTTCATGCAACCACCAGGAAAGGACAGGCATGCTGTGAGAGCAAACCAGGGTATTGCTGGCTACTGAGACTATTTGTACAACCTTGCCATTTGTTTACGTGTGAAAAATCGCCACTGAAGAACTGCTAACATTCAGTCTGCACAGCTGTGACCACTTTATCCACCAGACACAAAAAAATGCAATTCAATACATGTGAAAAAACACATCCCTTCTCTGTCAAGTGTTTAGATAATTCTTTGTAAACAATATTAGAGAAGGAGATACTTTTCCTTCTTCCTGTATAAACCATACTTTAAAAAAAAAACTGCTTTTATTGGTTCATCTTTGAATGATCATTTATCGAAACTTGAGAGTGGGGCTTGTGACTCCAGCTACACCTCCTCCACAGCTACAACCTCTTAAGGAGAGCTGTGTCATCCTGGAGGTGATGGTGCACAGGGTAGGTGCACAGTATATGTGTAAGAATGCTAGCATTTGCTAAAGATGCTGGAGTGTGGGAGAAATTCCAATTTCTGAGAGCAAGAAAAGCTCCCTGAGAATGCTGCCTGTCAAGCATGCCTTGAAAATGTATGCTGTTTAACCCTCTGGGGGAGGGAGGGGGAGGGAGGTTAGGAAAGAGAGGCAGAGACTGAGAGACAGGTAGGCAGGGAAGCTCTTGATTACAGCAGCAAAGCCCTTTTAAAAGTGCACAGTGGGCCTGGCGAGATGTCTCAGACGGTAAAGGTACTTGTCTCACAAGTCTGGTGACCTAAGTTCAATCCTCAGAATCCATATAAAAGTGGAAGGAGTATAAAAAATAAAAATATAAAAAGTGGAAGGAGAGAGCTAATTTCACAAAGGGGTCCCCTGGCCCACCTGTACACCCATGCACACATACAATAATGACAATAGTATTTTGTAAATAACATAGTATCACCAGCCATAAAGTATTGAGAAAAAAACACAACAAATACATTGTACACTTTTTTTTTTTGGGGGGGGGCTCTGTGTTTTAAAGGAAAAGTTGAGAGGTTCAGTGGTGTTTGGTAACTGGAGCTCCTGAGTGAAAGCTATGAAGTAATGGGAGATATGACCAGCCATTAAGGTCTAGAAGACATCGCCATCCTGTAACCGCTTCCATGCTTAAGGCTCTTTTCATGTTTAGGGTCTCGCTGGAAATCCATGTCCAACCAGGAGAAGCAACCTTATTATGAAGAGCAGGCCCGGCTAAGCAAAATCCACCTAGAGAAGTACCCCAACTACAAGTACAAACCCCGGCCGAAGCGCACGTGCATCGTGGACGGCAAGAAGCTCCGGATCGGGGAGTACAAGCAACTGATGCGCTCCAGGCGGCAGGAGATGAGACAGTTCTTCACTGTGGGGTACGTACTCCCGAGGGCAGTCCTAACCTTCCCTTCCCAGGAAAGGACCACAGGGTGCTCCTGGCATGTGTGTTGGGAAAGAGATTAGTGAAGGGACGGGCCGTGGCTATGGGTCTCTGCTGTGTCCCAGGCCTGCACCTAGGCTCCTGCCCCTACTCTACCCTAACCTGAACCTACTGATGACACGTCTTTCATGCTCGCAGAGATAGCCAGTGCCCACACACAGAGTTTCTGGCAGTTTATTTAGACAGACACACAGGGAGAAAAAGTAAAAACTGACTTAGAAATCCCCACAGCTTCCCGGCTTCTCTGGTGGCGCTTCTGACTGTACTCACAATGATCTTCTTTTGTTGTGGGATCTACCACAAGATAATTGGCCTTGACATTGGTTAGAAGACCTCATTTTTGGCATCATATCCAGAACTCCTGTTGCAGTAAATTATTCTGTGGTGGAAGCAGTAACAATGTGGATTTTCTTGCTTAAATCAGAAACTGGGCATGTTTTTGATATCTTCAAGACTGATTTCATGTCATTTTGTTTAAAAATTAGGTAATAGATTTCTGGTATAAATTTCAACTTGGCTGACGGGCTGTCTGCATTCAAAAGAGGCCCCTCCTAACCACAGTAGTCAGGATAAGTGGGGTAAGAGATGCCTAGAGATTCCAGCACATAGACCCATGCAGCCTGTGGGGGTGGAAACCCCAGGACCACTCTGCAGGCAGAGGCTGAAGCAGCTGCAGCCAAAGGGAGACTCCTGAGAGAGAGAGGGGAGTGGAGGAAGCAGAAAGGAAGCCACATTAGCTGGACATAGGAAGAAGAAAGGGAAGCTATGCCCTGGCTAAGTAAGAAAGCTTCTCTTTGAGTTGAAAAAAAATTTTTTTAAAAAAAGAGGCCCTACAGGGGAAGTGAGGCACTCTTTGTGTTTAAGGATGCTCCAAGGGAAACCTGGATGGAACATGCTGGCCTTAGAAGCATGTGTCTAGAGGGTAAAATTAACTCTAATAGTGAACAGAGCACAAGCTAGAAGTCAGTGAAAGAGCCCTATATATGTGGTGTATCGGGGTCTTAGGGAGACCTGGGGCTCTGGGTTTGATGAAATGCTGGCTCTGTCATCTAGTTGGGCAGGGACCTTACCTTTGCCAAGCTTCCATTTCCTCACATGTGAAATGGGAGGAATGACAGCGGGCATCCTTTATAGTTGCTGAGACAATTCACGACTGCAGGACTTTCAGAAGGCAGTTCTTGTAAATCCCTGCATCACCATTATGACTTGCTAGGTTCCCAGTTCCCCGGCAACAATATATGTCACCCAGCTGCCCTGTGAGCTTCTCTAGACTCTGGCACACACACCCTTTTAGGGATAAAGAAAATTGTCCCACCTTATTAATTGAAGATTCCAACATGTTAATAAATGAAGATAGGACAAAATAGGCTTATCAGATGCCTCTGTGCTATGAGTGTTTGCATCTTTTAAAATAATGCTTTTAACACAAAAAGTACAATGCAATATAATTGGACCATTCACATGGTAATGAGAGGATTTATGAAAAATACAGGTTCATAGTGCCCTTTCAGGAGGCTAGTCATTTAAACACAGTGCTGATTTAAGACTGCATGATAAACATCTTGTTTTAACCTGGTACTGTATCCCTGAGATTGTATTTATCTTTTGAAAAATGTAAATTTGAAAGCTTTTGTGATTCCTGGCCTTCTTTGTGCCCCTGTGTTTTGAGCAATACTTAGTGGGTCTCTTTGACCACACTCTAAAAGGTTATCAGAAGTACTGTTTTGTTTCCTGATACTTACTTGAATGGATGAGTTGTAGCAATGTTATTTAACTTAGTCATCTTTGCTGCAGAGTACATTAAAATGGACCTATATCCAAATACCCCAACACATACTGGTCCAGACTCATAGTTTACGTAGTGAGACACAATGGATTAGTAACTCCCTGAAATGCAGATGGATGTTTAGTGATATCTACCATTTATTGGGTGCCTAGACTGCACTAGATATTCTGTATACCCAACTCACACATCCATAATCCTTGAAATAAGATTCAGGTTCAGAGAATTCCAGTGGTTCCCAAAGATCAAGAGACATTAAAGCTCAACTCCAGGTCTTTACCTCTGCCATCCAAAACAGGGAAGAAACCAGGTCTGCTCAAAAGGCACCTGACAAGCTCTTTTGGACCAGACATGAGCATAGCTGTATGGTTTGCTAAGGGCTCATGGACCCTGAAATCAGTGCAGTACCTGATTATGGGATGTGCTGATGAAGGAAGCTCTGAGCTCCGGGGGTTGTGCTGCTCTGACAGTGCAGGAAGTCCTGTTAAGAAATGGTTGTTTTAGTGCATCAAATGGACAGTGCTGCCAAATGGCAGGCAAGGACCAGAAAGGCCCGTTCTTAATCTGCAGTGCTCAGTGTGTCCCTCTGCCCAGTTCCGGGAACATCTGCTACATAAGCTAGGTATTATCCCTACTTACACATTTGTATTTTCTTTCAAAGAGTTAAAGCTGATAGGTCAGTAAGTCCCCAAGGTTCATCTTTGGAAATTGATCTTCATTCGCTGTAAAGTTACAACCAGAGGAGCAGAAAGCAAAACAAACAAAATCTCAGTGATTACTATTGATGTCTTGATGGGGCAAGATCGATTTTTATAGCTGATTTTGAAAAGACATGCATTCCTTTCAAACCAGTAACACCATATACATTACTCAACATTTTTGTGCATTTAAATGACTGTGCAGCTGTAACTGATGAGTCAGATTTCTTAAACTTAGCTAATAAAAAAAAAAATCTGTCAGTATTATGTAACAAGAGTTCCTCCTCACCTGGGATTTAACTCCTTCAAATGGTAGATTTGAATATCAGGATTTTGTGATAATTCTGTAAATACAGAATTGATATTTATTGAGGCCCGCGTAGCTACAATGATATATTTTTCTTGTGAATCAATACTAAAACTACTTTTTATGTGGCAACACATGTAGTGATTTGCCCCTGAACTAGTAGGGATTACACAGATGCTGCAGAGTATCCGAGTAGGGTGACTTTTCAAGCAACCGCAGTGAAAAGGTATTGAATACTCATAGTATGCAATAGGCCGACCCGAGTGAAGAACATAGATTATTGCAAACATGTCAAATGTATTAGACACCATCACTGTTCGAGGTTTGACAGGCACAGCACTGATAGAATTGAAGTCACTTGTTCAGGTCAACAGTTGGTCAGGGCAGCGTTAAGATTTAAGTCAGGCTGATGTGGATATAGAGCACATGTCTGCCTTAATGTCGTGTGCATCTCACAAATTATAGAGCGTGTAGGTCAGCAGTGAGGACATTGACCCTGGAGCCAGCCTATTTCATCTCCGACGGCAGATGCCCTTTCTCACTGTACCGGCATATGCACGTCTTTGTTCCTCAGAAACCCCCACTTGCCCTTAGGATACTCCTTAGTATCTCTGCCTGTCAGTTTTCCATATGTAGCATACGGATGTCTATAGCATCAATGACATGAGTCCCTCTGAGGATGGAATGGCTTAGCATATGGAAAATGCTAAGAAGAGTGTCTGACATGCACACATGTTACTCTAAAAAGGGAAATCTATGTGTCAGGTATTTATTTTGTACTATCTTACAAGAATTATTTTCCCAGATAATTGTGCCCTAAGTGATCTAAATTTCTACCATTTTGGTCTTAAATTTAAAGGAGTCAAGTGAAGCCTGTAAGACACTAGCCATGCTATTTTCCAGACTGCCCAGTAAGGAATCAGCTTAAAAATCCCAGCAGATAATGTGTAAAGATTGCCCATTTTCCCACCCCTCCCCACAGCATCAGCCACAGAGCCATGCGACCCACCTAACATTCTCATGAGCTGAGCCCCATTGCCTCCACTTACAATCCTTGACAAGGTCTGAGGGTGAGCACGCCATAGGGCTTTGCTATCAACATGTAGTTCTTTTATGTCTGGCAAAGCTGGACTATTCCAGAATTACTCTTGTGTTTTAAGAACCATGCCTCAGTGCTGAGCTCTCTCCAGCCCAGGTAATACTCTGTCCTCCTGTCAGCTGTGTGCCAACATATCCAAGATACCTTCAGCTTCTGTTTTGATGTGCATGTTCATTATTTGTAGAGACCAAGGCCTGCCAGCTACTCCTGTCTGTGAAATCTGCAGTGTTTGAATTTTGACTTTGAAATTGATCTATAAAGGAAGAAAAGTGCTTTCTAGGAAAGTAATTTCTGATAGACAACACTTAATGCTGCTGGCTGATTTCTTTTTTTCAGTTTGTTTATTGACTAACCAGTCAATTGTTAAGGGTCTATTAGATATCAGCAAGAGTCCCAGCTCTGTACTAAATCACCAGAGCACGAGGCGTTGCTCCTATAGACAAGAGTTTTTGGAGCATTTAGTGGATAGACAAGCCATACACGCACGACTGAGTTAGCTGATAAGAATAGTTAGTCACACAAGCCACAATATAGGTGGTGTTTGCACATACGACATGATGAAGTGCTTATCTGAGCATATAGACATGAATAACTGAAGTCCAAGAAGGAAGTTTGCTATGCATTAAGAACAGACCAGCCACAGATACCTTGGAGGGAGGGAGCTGAGGTTTGAGAAGATCTGGCTAGTAGAAAGTAGATTCCTGACTAAGAATAAAGGAGAAGAGGATGTGTGAGGGAGAAAAATGTCAAATGTGCAATAATACAAAGGAGGCCATGAAGAAAGTGTAAGGTAGGCTGGGTGGAGCAAAGCCAAGATTCTTCAGCTCAGACTAGTTGTGTTCATGGAATTTTTTGTTGGTTTGTTGTAAGTCTGTAAGACTAAATTATAAGACAACAAAACCAGAGTGCCATATAGCTTTGGGCTTCATCCCTACAGAATCTGATATAACCTCAGAAGGGTCTTAGGTCTTCTGTGCTTCATGTCACCAGCCACCCCTCCTGAGCACCTCCATTCGGGATCCTGGGAGGCTGGCATGCTGCCTCCCACGGGAGCTGCTTCCTTGGGGAAACCTCTCCAATGCCAGAAGGTTCTTTCCCCTTCACTGCTCTGAAATCTGCCTGTTGATTTGCAGGTTGGTCCTGGTCCTCTGGTTTGTTCTCCTGTTTATGAGGACAATCATTCAGCCTCTAAAGATTGTCACAGCTTTATTTTTTTCTTTGTCACGGTCCCTCCCAGACTTTTAGACTTTTAAAAAGTCTTTTAAAAGACTTTTGGTATTTTCTTTTCTGAAGTGTCACTTCTATTTTCTTCATTGGCTTTCCCTCCCTTTGCTAGTTCATTCCCTCAGAAACTAACTCAATATACTCAACAGGGATTCACTAAGTGTTCTCTGTGGCCAGGCATTGTCTGAGCTCAGGAGCCATGTTAGTGAAGAATCTTATCCTGGGAGCTTATGCTCTAGTGGTGGAAGAGGTCAGATAATCAGTCAATGACTAAGTAAAATAGCTACACGTTCCTTCAGAGAAAAGTAACATAAGGAAGGAAAAGTGCCAGAGGGTTTCAGAGGTGGCTCCAGCAGCCAGGGTAGCCCCCGAACACTTTCCTGAGAGAGTGAGAACAAAGAGCAGAATGGGTAAGGAAGCAGGCTGTGCAGAGCCTAGGCAGAGAGGACAGCAAGCCTCGAGGTGTCCAGGCATAACTATGCCCAGCTTATTAAAAAGTCAGAGGCCAGCATGACAAGGCAGAGCAGAGGGAATAGCTTGGAAGAATTATGTATGTCAGAGAGATGACAGAGAGCCAGACTATGAAAGACCTCATAGGCCATTGTGAAGCTGAGTTTGACTCTAGGCAAAAAGGAAAGTCTTTGAAGAGCTAAAACAAAGTAAAACAAAAGATGCTGAGCTTTGGCCTAGGTTTTGAAAGGATCACTCTAACTACTGTGTTGGGACTTGTCTGAGGAGGAACTGCCTGTTACAAAGAGGCTAGGTTCCTAGGATAAATCATACTTGAATTGCTGGTAGTTGGACCAGGTGTGTAGGAGTAGAGGAGCCAAGAAGTACATAGACGCTAGATATGTTCCCAATGGAGAACTGACATGATTTGTTAGTGGATTAACTGCGGTAATTGAGAGAACTCTTACTCTTACTACAGTCGACTCGAGCAACCGCAAAGGTTGGAAATATTCATTAGCCAAGATCAGACTGGCCACACGAAGGCTGAAAATCCAGAGGAGGGCCAGGAGTTTGGTTTCGCACATGTAAGACTGAGATAGTTTTTAGCATCCAAATAAGAGACATACACAAATAAGTGTGTGTGTGGCGGGGGGGGGGGGGGCTAGTTAGTTAGTTATTTGCTTAGTTAGTTAGTTAGTTAGTTAGTTAGTTAGTTAGTTAGTTAGTTTAGAAGGGAAGTACTTGATAGAGATACAAACCTGGGAGTGGTCAGCACACAGATACTGTTTAAAGCCATAAAATTGACTGAAGATCAAGCTGATATAGTAGTTTGAAGACTATTGGTGATCTCCTCCTGAGTTGTTTCAGCACGGCATTGGGAATAGTTGAAATGGGTCTAAGGAAGAACTGAGAGGAAGAAATGAAGAGAGACAACTTCCCGAGTTTTATTTTCAAACATCGGAGAAGTAGAACAGCAGATAGAGAGGACAGAAGAGTAGAAGTGATGATGGAAGAGACAATGTATGGAGGGACTCCTTGGTAGGCCATAGAAAACAGGTCCAGTGGACAAGCAAGAGGCCTCTCTGTCTGATTCTGAGCTTCTTAACCTTGCACAATGCAGGAAGAGGGTTGGGCTCAGAGACATAAGTGAGTCAGTGTGATGATGGGGACTTGTAGAAAGTCTTCTACTTGTGCCCAGTTCTCCTGTGAAATAAAAACCAGGTTATCAGCTTAGAATGGAAGTCAGGTACTTGATGAGCACTGACAGCATGAAAGGGCCACCCAGGAGAGAAATGAGTAGACTGGGGGAATGTGCCATATGCTATCTAGATGGCATTGGAGTCTGGTGCGAAGCTCACGTTTTCCATGCGGAGAGCAGAAGCAGGGTCGTGCAGTTTCTCTGCCCAGATCCAGCTGGGTGCCTGGACAGAGCAGGGAGGGGATAACCCCACCTCCAGACCCACTATAAACTTTTAGGAAGGTGTAGGTGAGCAGAAGCCTGGAGAGAAGCAATGAGGAATGAGGGAAAGTTAAGTTAGGAGAGGGCTGTACAGAACCAAGGGCTAGGCTTGGCTCAGTTTAAGTTTATTTAAGACATAAAAATAAATAACATATATTTGCTTTGAATATTTCAAAAAGCAACAATCTGTTATTGTGAAAAGCATGTGTCTTCTGTATTTAAAGGAAATGTACTTTTTGATAGTTTCTATTGGTCTGCAAAGTACAGAATAACTGTCACCTTAGGAAATCTGTAAAATGGGTCAATATTGAAGGAGAGTGTTCTCTTTACACTTGTAATTAAGGCAAAAAAATACTTCTACTATAATTATCCAAAATTAGTCATAAATGTAAAACAGTATCTCTTGCCCTAGGCAGGTTAATATGAAATTAAAGTTGTGCTAATTTACCACAAATTTACGAAGCAAGAAGCATATCTTTTTAGAATTTGAGAGGGAGCAGGTTTTCCTGTGGTGCATCTACAGACAGATGTGGCTTCTCCTATCACTAGCTTTCTTCAGGAGATCAGATTCAACACAGGAATCATAGGAACTAGATTATTGTCAGGTCCCATGTCAATACCAGCTTGGCTAGGTTTTCTTGAGTTGCCAGCTTATGTTATCTCAGGAGTGATAAGAACTCAAGAGGTGATCATGTTTGTTGAATAAAGTTTTATATATATGTTATAATACACAAACCTGTGTGTTATGTTAATACACACTATAAAACCAATAGATAAAAAGTATGTGTTGGTTTGTTCAAACAAACCAGCAGATCTTGTGAAGGTTGAGCTCTCCTGTGCAGGAAGAGCTTCCACTGTTTCTCCTTTTGCTCAGGACACAAGAATTAAAGCTTTATCCAATTAAAGAATGGGTAAATGGTGACTAAAGGTCCTTAAAGACAGTGTGAGCACACATGTCTGGCATCTTAGCCTTTCTCCCTTTCTCCTTCTACAAATGAGGCTGGAGAACTCTGTAAGGAAATGACACCCCTCTTGGAGTGTTCCTGACCGGCTGGTAACAAGGCTGCTTCCTACATATGCATGTCTTTCCATGACAGTGAGGCAGATGGAAAGTCTCATTAATGTAGATAAGAGCTGCTCAAGTGAGCATTGACTAGAAGCCTTGATTACAACAAGGTAGGTGAACCTTTCAGATCACCCCTGACCCTATCTTATACAAACATACGAATACCAAAAACTCAGGAAGCACTCTTACAGTGCTGCTTGGGGTGTGTGTTGACTAGAATCTGCCCATAACCATTGAACACCACCTGATAAATTTACATAGTTGAAAACAACGACACCTCAGGAACTTCTCGGCCGGGTAGAGCTTTAATTCTTGTGTGCTGAGTGAAAGGAGAGGTATATGGCTGCTCTTCCTGTACTGGAGAGCTTGACCTTCACAGATCTGCTCACTCTTGAACTGGGGACAGTACGAAGAAGTGATCTGCTGGGACTCGACTTGGCATCTGCTGGGCTAGAGCAGGAGCAGGAGCAGCAGGCCTGCTGCCTCTTATTATTAGTGGGCAAAGCTCACTGCTTTTTATTACCGAGTCCTTCAGCCCCAGCTCCATCCTCAGCCTCAGGAGTAGGGATATTCAAGATAACTATTCTAGAAGGACCCTAGCCTGGCAAGTCCAGCTACAGAAACAAGGACACATTAAAATAGAGACAGAGAACAGAGTGAGTCTTTGGCCAAATTTGCCTATTTGGGACTTGCCAGGTCCTTTTTCATTTTTCTCTGTCATTCCTACTTCTCCAACCAAGTTGAAGATGACAGCATCCCACTTAAGAGTGTCACTACAATATGCCTAAGCCTCTCAAGTGTTAAAAAACAAACAAACAAACAAACAAAAACTGCTCCCTGGTTTCTTTTTAAAAATGCTCTCATATGGACTGTTGTGGTCTTAACTACAGCCTTTTGTGCCCACCTCGATGCCAAGTATGATCTGAGCTCTGTAGTATTTGCCGAGTTGAAAGTTCTGCCTTTATGTTGTGAAGCCGTCAGCAAATGGCTGCGTCGTATCAGTTAACCACCAGCCACAGCGTCAGGGACGGTCCAGTGATCCTTCCAAGGAATTTTTTTTTTGTCACTTCTGGTGACTTCACATGTTCCATAGGGCCTGGCTTGGAAAATGTGGGTTCAGAAGTCCCAGGTCTCATGTGAGAACTGATAGAGATTTCCATCTCTTTCATTTTGTCTCTGAATCTATACAGGCAACAGCCTCAGATTCCCATCACCACAGGAACAGGTGTTGTGTATCCTGGTGCTATTACTATGGCAACGACCACACCATCACCTCAGATGACATCTGACTGCTCTAGCACCTCTGCCAGCCCGGAGCCCAGCCTTCCCGTCATCCAGAGCACGTATGGTATGAAGATGGACGGCGCAAGCCTGGCTGGGAACGACATGATTAATGGAGAGGATGAAATGGAAGCCTATGACGACTACGAAGATGATCCCAAATCAGACTATAGCAGCGAAAATGAGGCCCCAGAGCCTGTCAGTGCCAACTGAGGAGCTTTTGTTTGCTGAATTAAAACACTCTGACATTTCACCCCCTTTCCCCAACAACAACAACAAAGTTCTTAAAGAGCCCGCATGCATTTGTGGCTCCACAATACATCAGCAGAATGGTCTTAATTGCTTCGTAACGTGTGAGAGAGATTACGTTTTCCTGATTTTTCATAAACTTGAGTTTTTGTCGTTACCGTTCCTGTTGTTGTTTATTTAGGTGAAGACGTATTAAATACGAGACACCGGGACTTGGACACCTATCTCCGCCCACCGCCGTCTTACTAGTCTTACATTTCTGTCTTACTATTTTTCTTTTGGATGTTGACAAAGGGTTTAAGTTACTGTTTTAGATGGGGTTAAACATTCTCACTCAGGTATGCTGTGCCGGCTACAGGTTGTGAATGTGTTTTTATTCTGAATTACTTTAGAAAACAACTGAGGATTTCCTATTGTGAAAGCAGACAAGTCCACGGCATGTGCGGCTGCATATAGAACATGTTTAAAAGGCCTCAGAATTCCATTTGTTTTTCCATGTGTAGAATTCAACTTTGAATGTGCCAAACTTTTTTTCATAACTTTTGAATCTTAACTATTTTGAAAGTCTTACAGGAGACACTGCAAAGTCTTAGACAATCTTTGGCATCTTAAAATAAAATAGCAAACCACACTTTTTTTTTCCAGAAAATGGTGAAGTACTCAGGAATCTGGAGACAAGATATTGTAAGGAATGAGCAAAGCTGCCACAGTGCGTGAACCCAATTGTGTTTGCCTCTTGACGTGCCATCAGTGTGTGGCGTGGGATGACATTTGCACCAGAGCAATCACCACACCAAACACCAACATGGTGGTCTCCACTGCCTGGGACCACCTCTCACTACATCCATTCTCCCCTTGCCTTTCACCCTGACATTCAATCTTAACACATTGTTCTCTTAAATAATTTATTCATTCCAGAATGTCAAGGGTCCACTTATTATTTATTTTAAAAATTATTGGTGGCATTAATTTAATATTTTTTTTTGCCCTCTTCACCCTTTCACCTCTCTTTCCTGCTGGATACAAAAGATGTACATAGCAATCTCGTGTCCCCAGAGCCCCTGGAAACATTTCTGAAGTGATGCTAGTAAATGCATATATTGTTGTTTTAGAGATGGCCGCATCTGGCTGCAGGGTTGTGCATCTGTATCAAGGGGCCCTCCATTTAAACACGTATGCCCCTGTGAGTCACTGTGACCTCAGGTCTTTGACTAGAGTTTCTCCCTCATTCAGTTTTCAGTGCAGTAGAACCTGAGTTCCATTCAGCAGTCAGGGTCAGCAGTGGTTACTGCCAGTCCAGGGGCTTCTCAAAGCAGCTCTGAAGCCCAGGGTCCATGGGCCACACAGGGGTCAATGGTGGAGCTGGCGTGCTGTCACCTTTATTGAAATACCTGGTTCCAGCTGGCACACCCATGGAGATCTTTGCAAGGTCTATAGGATGTTAGAAGCCTCAAAGGAAAGGAAACCAGAGGGAAGGTGAGCTATGGGTGCTGCTAGCCCATAGGACAGATGGTGTCTGGGGCAGCCCACCAGCTCCTCTGGAAGACCCTATTTTCTCAGTGGCTCCTTGTGAATGAGGTGATGTGCTCCTGCCACTCAAGGTTGGCTCTAAAGACATTCTGCTAACTACAGGCAGTTAGTTCTGTTTGAGTTCAACCTTCCTGAACCCAGGTTGCTTACCAGGAGCCACACTCAGAGACCTTCAGTGGGAGGTGTCAGTGAACAGGACAGCCCAGAATCTGAGCATCAGGACAAAGAACAGCTCCATCCAATTTTTGAGCCATTTTGTCACTTGGGAGAAAGTAGTAAAACTTTGTATTTATTTAAAGAGTGCTCGGGCCATACCTAATAGCAATAAATAGGTATAGCCACGAGATGAGCAGCTGCGCCCTTAGCTGTGAGTGCTCTCCATAAGCTGTTTAAGGTACTGATAGGAATGTTTTGTTTTGTTTTAATATTGCTTGGGGATTGGAACTTTGTTCTTGTACATTGATTTTTATATGAGGAGGGGGTTACTTTTCAAAAACAAAATGAGTATTTATTAAGTCTTACTGATTTCTTGGGATTCTTTGTCTCCTCCTCAGTTTCCCCTCTTCTCTTTTGGCTTCTGCCCTCATTGGTATGTTTGTTTTGTTTTACTTTGTTTGTTCCATTTTTTTTTAAATTGTGCTGCATAGGTAGAGTGTTGTATGGCTAGCGTTGTATTGTATGTAATTAATTTTGCACAAAGGCAAGCATTTAGCATAGTAGTTAATTTTGTTTGTTTTTATGACCATGCCAAAATAATATTCTGGGCTGGTAGAGAACAAAGGACTGTTCTTTAGGATTGAAACTTGATTTTGCTTGTAGTAAGAAAAAGAAAAAGAAAAAAAAAAAACCACACACACTCACAGATGTCGTTTCGTAAGTGTTACAAGCACTGGATATAAATGGTATTTTTATCACTGACTAATGTGAAACTGGTATGGAAACTACATGAACAAAAGTCATCTGTTTCGACTCGTGTGGGCTTGCCTCACAGTTGCCGGATCTGAGTCATTTTTATGTCTTGTTATTTCATTTATTTATGCAAAATACATGTGTGTAGGAACGCTCTGTGTCAGCTGTGGCTCTGCCTCAGCGCTGGGGTCCAGTGACTTCTAGACATGTTCTCAAATACAAAAGCTGTCCGGGAATGACTGGGTGTGAGCGCCTCCTTCATCGGCTCAGACAGTGATGCTGTATTCGAATCTAAATTTTGTGCATACACAGTTTATTCTATTTATTAGCCACATTTGGCTCTAAATATCCATGGGAATGGAGAATGACAATCACAGAGATCACTTACATCAGTGGGGCTTAAACAAAGTCTTTATGACTTCACCATCTCATTTTTAGAGTTTTCTAATTGTGTAAATATAACATAGAAATAGAATTTATTTTTGGTTCATGAATTCCTAGTGAAAAATAAGTTATGTATCTTCTTTCCGTTCTCTATTCATGTCTTGCTCCACACTGAAAGCTGGCCAGTCACATTTAGTATGGACAGAGAGTCATCAGCTCCGGTGAGGCAGTGTTCACCCCCAGCCAAGACAGCAGGACCCCTACTTGGTTCTCGTGTAGTCTGGAACCCACTGACTCAGACTTCCCCCCTTTCCTTCTAAAAAGCTGAGCAGTTGCACACACTGAGATTCCAGCAGAGCTAGGAGAAAGTCAGTTTGCTTTGCAAATCCAGACCCGTCTGCCCAGATAGTTCTGAGGCCCCACCATGGCAAGAAGCAGGAGTTGCCTTTCAGAGGTAAAGATCTTCCAGATAGTATAAACCCCACAGTACCAAGGCAAGGGGAACCTGTGTTTCCTTCCCTCTTTTATACTAGCACTAAATCAAAGCCTGGGGTTTTCTCCATTATCAAAGAATTCACAGGATCAGGCTTTTCTTTGTCAACTGGGAACAGCAGTATTGCTAGACAATCCTCTTATTAATGAACAGGCTCTATGGAATAGGAAGGAAAGGAAGAGGGGAAGGAATAAAGGGACACAGAGAGAAGACTTATCCATCCATGGGCATGAGAAGCCTGGTTGGCAGTTTCTCTTCCTCACTGGCAAATTCTAGGCCATGTTGTTTTCGCAAATGCTCTCTCAACCTTTCAGGTTTGCATCATGTGGTATTTGATAGCTTCTAGCCTGTCCTCAGCCTGAATTCCTTCTACAATGCCTGAAACCAACCTCCAGGCCAGGTTCTAAATTCAGGTGTGGACTCAGAATGCCATTCCACTTGTCAAATGCAGGCCTCGTCTGGACATTAGCCCTATGTGAGCTGGGAGTGCTAAAAAAAAAAAAAAAAAAAAAAATCTAGTGATCTCTAGTGATCCCTCTAGAGATGAAAAGAGGCTTCTGTAGAGCCAGGTTACATCTCTAGTAAACAGCCTCCTGAGCCAGGAGCTCAGCAATTAAGGATGACTACCTCCCTAAGCAGAAATATGGCCTGGACACACTGATGCTACAGATGAGGCTGTTGCTCTCCAGCCACTCAGTCTCAATAAATTGACTCTACCAACTCTTGAGGAAAAGAAAACACAAATTACTTAATAGTTTTGAGCCACAGGAGAAGACCTGTACCAAGTGCCAACAACTGTGCGCTGTGTCTAGCGGAATCGTTTGATAGGAAGGCCGGGTCTTCCTCTTTACTAAAAAAGGGGCAACCACATTGACCATAGCCTTGCCTGATGTCCACATTTCCCTCAAGGACTGAGCTGATACTTCGGTTCATTCTCAAAGTATAATGACGGTGGTCTCACTTGCACTGCTTTTTTTGTTTAGGTCCTCTACTCCTGACATGGCTTATGATTATTATTTTTTTTTTATGAGCAGCTGTCTCCCTTGCCGACCACATTGTTTCTGACACCACATACTCTCGATTGTGGCCCTGCACATCAAAACCAGATTGAAAAATCACAATATTCAAGCGCAGGTTTGTTTTTTTTTTTTTTTGTCCCCATCCTGTCCTTTCCAAATACTGGCACTCTGGCACTCGAGGGCAGAGGTGGAGGGAGTCAGAGAGGGGCGAGAAGTTAAGGCTTCCTGCAGATTCCCATCTATTGACAAAGGAGCTGGCAGAAGGCAAGTAGGTGATGTTTCTTGCTGGTCTTGTTTCCACAGAACTGCAGGGATAGAGCAGGGCTTCAGTGCGGGCACTTTTGGAGTCTGGGGAATGTGCAAATATTTTGTTGTCATTGCAGGTCTGCTGGTGTGCACCCGCCATTGTCTGTCTTCGTCACATATGCATTTGCTCTCTCTCTTTTTAAAACTCAGCCTTCATTGTATCCTTCTTCAGCTTGTAGCACATTAGGATGTTTAGCACTTGTTTTTGCTCATTCTTGTATTTGCCATGTACAATTTTGAATTACCCTATACAAGCCTCTAAGCTGTTACTACATAACTTATCTTACTGTAACTCTTTTCTTTGCCTACATTGTAATTTGTTTGTGATGTATATTGTGAGATTGTATTCTATGTTAATTTAATCAGCACAACTCACTGACATGCTGGACTGACATGCTGGCTGCTGTTTTGAAGTGTAAAGCTTGTGTAGGGCTGTCCAGACAACTACAACTCTGTTGTCAAGGTACTGTGCATTGGTTCCCATAGCAACACTGTGGGTGTGACCCTCTAGACTCTAGGGACATTAAGCACACCCTCCAGCAAATTTTAAGTGCAGATTTTTTTTTTTTTTTTTTTTTGTTGAAACTCTATGAATACCACAGGTACCTACTTGGCCCATGGCTGGTAACTATTTTGGGCAATTAGCAAAACAAACAAGCATTAAAAAACTAGTGTCTATTGCTGCTTTGAATATGTTTGAAAGTCTGAAAATGTAAATAGTTTATCGAAAAAAAAATTCTTGTACAGTCCAGTGTAAAGTTTTTAAATGACCTGAAGGGTTACCATCACAGCTTTTGTGCACTCTCCTCTGGATAGTGATAAAAAGAAGTTTGCTAAGGACTTAAAGAAATGGGAAAAAAACAACAACAGAATCTCTTCGAATTGAAAGGAGTGGATCACTGCCCTTAGCTTTGTCACATACACAGACCTCTTGGATCTTGTTGGACAGTATTGGCATGAGACAAACTCAGCATGGAACACCCTGCAGTGGGACTTCTCTGGGCTTTCCTGCCCTGCCTCACGATTAAGGGAAAGGAGGAGACAGAAAGGCGTGCCGTCTTTGTCTATCCTGGAATACATTGGCACCTTAGCTACTTTCCCCCTCTTTGCACAAGGTGCTTTCCTGACATGTGTTAGACACGCCATCCTTGGGTGACAATGTATATGCCATGATGGGGCTCAGGCCCGCGGGGGAGTGTCTATAGGAACTGCCTATTTATGCTCATTTACCTCAAGACTGTCCTCTACCCTAAACTAGTTGTCATCACTCCATCTTTTGTACTGCTGTTGACACTTACCAATTAAAGATAAATTTTGTTTTATGACCTCTGTGTTTGGCTTAGTCTGTGTCCCCAAAACTCTTCCTTCATGGAGCACAGCAAGACCTAAACTTAAAGTCACCTACTACCAGAGCCTGGAGGTCCCAAGCTTTCTGAGTGAGTCTTCCTGAACCCACAGCAGGGTAGAGGGAGGCTGGGACAAGAGCTGCCCATCCATTCACCCAGCAAGACATGTCTGCTTCTCATGGTCCACACACCACTGCAGGAAGGGATGCTGGCCGGTTTTGATAGGAGGAAGAACAGATGTGGATTCTTCAAGAGAGGATGAGAGGACCTACCACTTCTCCTGACTTCCCCTTGAGAGTGAATGACCTGGGGTGAATGTAAAGGCCTGAGCAGCAGCCCCTCCTGCAGCCCAGCCTCTCTGAGCATAGCTTAGAGAGTGCTGAGCTACCACCTGGTGGCCTCCGCCTCCAGCAGGAAGCTCCCAGCTCCTCCTCCTGCCCAACCCCACCCCCGCACCCCAGGGAGCTTCTGCTCCCAACAATAGTGGCTTTTAAAGTGTTTAAACTGTTGGTTGATCAATTCTATGGGGCTCAGAGTCTGGGGGCCAGACTGGGGTGGCTGGGGTCCCTTGCAAGACTTGTCAGATCAGAGCTAGGCCAGGCCAAAGTAACAGAGAGGGAGAGACAGAGACAAAGAGACAGAGACGGTGGTTTCTTTTCTTGCCATTCCCTATACATACGCCCTTTTGGAGAGAAGCCAGGAATCTGGAACTTTACCCCAAGCAAGATGACACAAGGTGGTTAAATCCCTGACCTTGCCGCACAGGGCCTCCCTCCGGCCCCCACAGGGCCTCTCTCCAGCCCCCACAGGCTTTGCTGTTTCATTTTCTGCTCTTACAGGGGTTTTTTGTTTGTTTGTTTGTTGTTTGTTTCTTTGTTTCTTTTGTTTCATCTAGGCTCTCCCGTAGCCCAGAGTGACCTGGAACTTACTATGTAGCCAAGGCTAGCCTTGTACTCCCAAGAGCTGGGATCGAATTTATAAACCACCACTCCCATTTGCCCACGGGTTTTGAAAACCATAGGTAAGCATTAAAGGATGAACTTGGGAGGCACAGAGTCAGGCTTTACTACTGTCGAATGGGACCTTAGCCTCTACCTCTCAGGATGGAAGAGCTGGGAGTGGGGAGAGCATGGAGTGACATGGCAGGTATAAGATGCAGAGCAGCAGGTTAGCACAGAGCCTGACTAAAGGCTACCTGCCACCTCTGCCCAGTGAAGGTCTGAAGCAGAGAGACTGTTGGGACTTACTGAACCAAATAAAGGACAAGGCATCTCTGAGGCTCTGTCTCCCTCTTCTCACACACACACACACACACACACACACACACACACACACACACGCCCTGCCCGGCTAGCCACTGCCCCTGGTCTTTGTAAAGCCCAGGCCTGCCCTCCCGTACTTTCCTGTAGTCTTTGGCTTTGCATGGATGACCAGGTCAGACTCACTTCCTCCCTTGAGAGCCAAACCTCTGCATACTCCCAGGCTCATCTCTCCCACAATTCCTTGCTGCTTCTCTCACCATTTGCTTGTCTTCTATCCTGGGCCATGCAATTTCCCTTCTGAGGAAATCTTACCCTTCTGTTTGGGAAATTCCCCCCTTGCTTCTGTCACCAGTTTCTGAGGTCTTCCCAGTTTCCCACATAACACTTTGAAAGGACATGTGTGCCTCAGTTCCCATGTTGTGACTATTGTTTTCACATGTTTTTCTGAGGATGAGACTAAGTCAATTTCCAGGGTTTCTGGCCAGTCAGAGTATGACTCTTTCCTTGGACAGGCTACCTCTGACTCTTTCAGAGTTTCTTAATCTGGTTTTTGATTTTTGTTTTGCTTTTGTTTTTAACTTATTCCTGCCTGAATAGATATTATATTACTTTTCTTAGCTGCTCTGACTAATTCTTGACAGAAGCATCATATCTTGGTTCACAGTTTGGGGGTGTAGTCCGCCGTGGCAGAGAAAGCATGATTGTAGGAGCCTCACAGCTAGTCACACTGCACCCGCAGTCAGGAAGCAAAGGAGAATGCTGCCATTCTGTTCGCTCTCTCCCTTCTATTCAGTTTAGGAGCCCCAGCCCACTGGATGGGGACGGCCACATGAGGGTGGGTCTCCCTCTTGGTAAATGTCTCTGAAAACTCAACTCACAGACACACCCAGAAGCGTGTCTTCTAGATGGTTCCAAATGCAGTCAAGTTGACAAGGTCAAGAATCACAGGCATCCTCCCTCCTGCTGCCTCCTCCCTCCCCCACCCCCAGCACCATGATGCTATCTAACTGCTCCTGCACCCAGGACAGAGCTTGGCCCCATTTACCTTACAACATGGCGGTGGTTGTACGGGAACAGCATGTGAGACAAAGGGGGACAGGCCAATGTGTGTCTTCTCTTATAACTCAAACTGCAAATCAGGATTCTCATCCAATTTGAGTACCAAAACGCAACCCCATCTCTGTTGGGAGAGTTGTGAAACGATCTAGATGTCACTGTGACCCCTCGGGCATTGTCTGCTGCACAAGGTTCTTGGTGACTCTGATCCTGATAGCCGCCCCCCTCCCCCGCCACAACTACTGCTTATCTCTACATGCACAGGGCCAGTGTTGACACCAGTGCCTAAAAATCAATTTCTTAAACGGAGCTGTAGTCCAATCCTGCCAAAGCCAGTACCCACAGACCCCAGAAGAGGCCAGCTGGAATCAAGCAGCTCACCCGAGCACCGAACACTCTCAAGGAAACTGTGAGTAGCAGGCATTGAAGTTCCAGCCTTGATGAAAGGGGCTTTGGGCTCCCTCTCAGTTCAGAAAGTTATAGAAATGTTCAAACCAGTCTATTCCCCGTATGCATATTAGGGTGAATTCCCTGGGGTATTTGCATTAGAATTTGACTAATATTCATTTCTGTACAAGACCATCAAAGAAAGTAATGTCACTCATCAGCAAAACACCAGTGGCAACACAGAGCCTGTATTGATGTTTCTGTCAGCACTGCAACAAAAGGGGCCTTAAGACAGCAATAATCAGCAGACAAGCCACAGAGTCACAGGAAAAATAATTTAACAGTTTTCTGGCTCAGCAAATATTGGTGCATGTTCTAACAGTCCTTAAAGAACCTGTATCATCAACTACACTTAAAAGGTGAAGTTGAGGGGGAAACAAACAAACAAACAAACAAATAATGTCAACGTCAACAAAATCTTCAGAGTTTCTGATCTCGGGTCAAGGCTGATAGGCTAGTGGACATTATCATACACACCCAAGTGAGGGTGGTTATTGCTGCATTCTTTGAACCGTATCTGTATTTCTACTGACAGTAACAGTACAGGGTAATTCTTGTGAGCCCTCAGTGCTCCCTTTGTAAGTATCTTAGGAAATGGTGAGCTTGAATTCCTTCTATCAGTTGCCATATAATGCAGGCACCCTTTGGAAGTACTGATATTATTATTAATGGGTTACAGAGACAGGTGTAAAAATTAAGACAGAGGGAAAAAAATTTAAAGAATTGTATGCTCACTCAAGAACAGTCAGAATCCTGAGCCAGGGATAAGCCAGCTGTTCAGCCATGATACACTATCCTGCTGTCAGGGCTCACAGGGAAATTAGAATGCATTTAATTGCAAAACGTAATCATATTCTATATTTGGATAAATACCCTCATAAAACCATGTGCAATTATTGCCCATCTTAAAGAAGTTAATTCACTTGGGAAATACACTTGTTTGTGAATGTTGAAAAGAATAACACCTGCTGAATGCCTGGACTTGGGCCACTGGAGAAATAAGTAATTCCACAAGCAATCACATTTCCTTATGCTCAGGCCCCGGCACTTTGGACTCTCCACTTGCAGAGGTAACCAGGACCTCCACAGGTGCCAGGGAGACAGGTTTTGGATGTGCTGGGGTGTAAAAGCCAAGCACGCCTGCCCTGGACAATGCTGTGGAAAACAGAAGTGGCTTTGGACCTTAAACTGTGTCAGATAAGATGCACTGAGGGGGATAAATCTGAGCTATAAATACAGCCCAGAAACTGGATCGGCTTGCGGGCTGTTGAATTTCAAATGCCTGCCAAGCTGAGTGTGATATCTGGGGCTCTCTATATTTGCAACGCTGCTGCAAGGGGTGGCGAAGGTCCAGTTCATTTAAACAAGAAAATCCCGGGAAGTGACAAGCAGAAGATGTAAACCGACCCATCAAAAACTTGGAGCTGAAATTAACTTTGTGAATTTTAACAGGCTGCCAGGGGGAGTTCAAATGGAACCCTGTGTCCGTTCAGCTCCTTAATGCTGGCAGGGCCGCAGACTGATTGATGACTGACTGACTGACTGACTGGTTTCTGCAGTATTGAGATCTGACCAATCAGACACGTAAATTGCTGTCAGTTTTCTGATTGGCCATCTGTGAAGTGCTTGGTTCGGAGAGTTAAAGACACATGAGACCATCGGAAATAAGAGAGAGTAAAGACCATAAAATATTAGTGAATCAAGCATCACTTTATTTAGGTTATCAGTCATTGGCTACAAGTGACTGGAAGCCAGCTTAAATGGTTATGAGAGCAAAAAGGAATCAGTGTCATATAACTGAAACACACACATAAACACAAACACACATGTGCATACACATGTACACACACACATACATACACATACATGTACACATACATACACACATAACACACATACACACATATATATACATGCAAATATACATATACTTACACATAGGTATGCAGATACACACGCACACAGAACACACACACATCTACCACACATACACCACGTGGCTTCAGGCTTGGCTGGATACAGTTGTTCAACAAAGCTGACTGGAGACTGTCTCCACCTCTCCACTGATGCTGAGGTGAGAATGCTCTCAGGAGTCTCTTCCCCGGGGGCAATGCTCCACAGTTCCGGGCTTCTATCAGCTCAGCTTTGCTCCGAACAGCAAGAAACCCTTTTCGTTCTCTACTATATGTTCCAGGTTTGTTGAAACCCAGTCTC